AAAATCACATCTGGGCAGCTATGGGAAGGAGAAGTCCCAGGCAAGATCCTGACTATCCACCAAGTTGAGTCCCTATCTTCAGTGATAGGTACAGTACTTCCATGAAAGAATATGTCTTTTCGGCTAAGTTACAAATACTCTTTGTTACATGACAAATGGGTGGGATCATCACCTTTACTTTCAGCAAAACCTGAGAGAAAATATGATCCTCTGGCCTTCAATCTGTTAATTCCTGGGCCTGGCATTAGAGGAGGAGGGTCATGAGGTTAAATACAGACTCCTCCAGGGTCCACAAGGGTGGACTCAGAGAAGCCAGGAACATATCCACTATCTTTACCAACCAAAGCACTTTAATCCCAGGCTGGGAACATCATAGGCACTGAATAGAGATTTACTAAAAGGTATTTAAGAACAAGAATAATTTCAGAGGCATAGTAGGGTAGAAATTTGGTCACAGTAAGTCAAAAGCTGGCTTTGAGGTGAAATGAAAACCGCAACTGAAATTAAGCTTAGTTACAGAAAGGACAGAGCTATGAGAATGGGGATGCAGTTCCAAGGGAAGGTTTTTTTAATTCATTTTCACACGAGAAAGACCTGAATGCAAATTTAAAGGGAGAAGTAAGTATATGATCTCTTTTATATGCCCCTATTGTATCATTCATTTTTTATAATTCATTATTCATTCAATAAATTTTTTAACTGAACAGCGACTATATGTGAGGAAATGGTATAGATGCTATAGGAATACTTAGGTGAACAGAATAGATAAACCTCCCCTCAAGGAAGTAGTATTACCCGGTCCTGATTCTTAAACAAACTCCTTGGAATCCAGACAGGACTAATCTGTGCTCTGCCTGTGAACAGGCCACACCGTCTTGTGATAGGTTATCTGGTCTGTCACCTCCTGTGGCCTGGATCTTCCTCCAGGGATCTTTGCATCCTCAGAGTGTCAAAGTATGAAGCAGGGTAGAGGAGGACCAAATCTAGTAAATGGGTTAACTTCACACAGGAAAGTTTACATTTGCTGGTTCATTTGTTTTTAACCTTAGAAAGAGGTTTACATGCTAGGAATTTTGCCCAAAGTCACAGAGAAGATTGGGTCTGGGTAGAACTGAGAGAAGGGCCCTGATCTCTCAATGATGATTCCAAGGCTTGATGACAAGCACAGTGCCAACAGGATATTTCCATTTTAAATAAATGACTACTGCTAGAAAATTCTTTTGTGCAGTATCTGAAAGATTAGAGAGATAATGGTAGAAATAAGACGATACTTAGTAACACAAGATACACTTCAGGAATGTTTCTTAATAAAATGTGATGAGCTGTCACTATTGAATGAAATCATCAACTGTTCTCTGAAACTCCTATGAATCTACCCAGACAGGAATCTTTCCTTCCTCCTTAACCACCCCAGAGAACAGCTAAGTCTTCACGTTCCCAAGTGTCTCTCTTCTCAGAATCAGTGTTCAGAATGAGCAACTTCCTTTTTCATTCATCCTGAAAAGAGTGGAGCAGTGATGAGCTCACGCTGCCCCCTCCTGGCCCACCCACTCCCTAACAAGGAGCATACATTCACTCTTTCCTGACCCTCTTTGGCTTTTTTTACTCCTGTAAAAAAAAAAGAAGAAAACAACAGAATGCCCCCACAAAAGTCAAATGTCTTTATTTTATATTAAAAAAATTTGTACAGTTTTAGTTCCTATGTTTAAGAAAAAAAATCCCTAAAATTGTCATAATGTTTAGATCCACTGCAAACTGTAAAAACAAGCTTTTTATATATTAAAAAAAAGAATTTACATTTTACAATTTTCTACATGCATGCACAAGGTCTCAGCTCTGTAACCCAAAAAAAGGAAAAAAAAAAATCTAGATCCAACAGTGGAAAATTCTACATTTACAATCTCACTTGGAAGGAACTCAAAAATTCCTCTTCCTTTCACACACAGAAGAACAAATCACAACAATCACACACCAGGACCGAATCCATCAGCAGATGCTGCCCCATGGGGAGGGCAAAGGAAAAAGAAGACAGACTGACAGACACCACAGAGGGGCAAGGGAGCTCATCCGGGCCCAACAGAGAAGAAGAGAAGCACAAACTCTGGAAAACAAACGTTTCAGATGAGAAAGGATCCCAATGTCTCAGGACAGTTATTGTGTCAGGGTTTGCAACAGGACTGAGGTGGGGATGGGGAAGTGAAAAGGTAAGGGCTGAAATGGAGGGGCTTGGGAAGAAAAAAGGAGAAGCTAAAGGGAAATAAACAAGAATAGAAAGAGAGAGCATGAAGAGTAGTTTAAGAGAAAGGGACAAATGGGGACGGCAGCAGAGTGGCGAGGTAGGTGAAGGACTGAGGCACAGCATCCTGGTGTGAAGGCAAGGAGGACCAGCCTTCCAAGGTGGTGAAAAGGAAGGCCTGGGAGGTGTGGTGGTGATGAGCTAGGATGCCATGTAGTCATAGAAAAGAGCACTGGAGAGACCCAGCCACAGCATCCCTGATGGTGGCATATGGGGCGCAGGTGGTAATGGGTGGGCAACACCCCCACGGGGGAAGAATGAGCAAATCCAGCATGTGTTGGGACAGGTAAAGTGGGGGACACCGCTCAGAGGGACTGAGTCAGGTGCACACCCCACAGCAGTTCACAGCATGAAGACAACTTCCCATATAGGAGAAGCAAAAGACAAACACAGCCATACACTTGACAATTCATCCTGACATTTCAAAAAATAATAATAACAATAATCAAAGAACACAAAGATACCACAGTTCTGACGCAAAGGACCAAAACACTACCAATCCTCAGTCACAGCCCTTAGTGCTTAGAGAGAGAGTCGGGGGAAAAAAATGTCTTTTTGTTTTAGGAAAAGGGAATGAAAAAAATCACAGTGATTAAAAACATGGCAGGTTCTTAAAATAAACATTCCCCCGCCCCTAACCTAGGGCAGCGACTCTGATTCCAAAAACTTGCCCTCTCCCCACCCCAACTCCTCCTCAAACCACACCACATCCCACTCTTGCCCACAAAGGCAGTGACCCCAATCACCATCCAGGCCCCATTTTCCAGGATAGTGAGGTATTTAGAAATGTGACCGAGAAGGGACTCCTCTGAAACCATGTCTTTGAAGAGAAGGAAAAAATACCTTCCCAGGACCCCCAGGACAGGATGTATCTCACTCAGGCTTATCCCCAAACCCACAGCCCCAGCCCAAGGCTGACCTCCAGGCGCTGCCTAGGTCAGCCCCATAATCCACCCAAGTGCAGACAAGGTAAGCACTGGCTGAAGAACCCTTCTCTAGTAAGTGGTGTGTGGAAAGATGTGCTTTTTCAGAAAGGACAGCAGGAGAAACAATCCCCAGGCTCCATCACACCCAGGGCTGCCACTACACAGAGAAGAAGACTCCCTGGTAAGAGATCAACTGTAATCTTATCCCAGGGTGCACTCTGCAAGGCAAGAACCAATGGGTTTTCCAGGGGAAAGACAGGCTTATAAAGGGGCATTGTGAGTTATTCTGAGGACTGGCCCAGGGGACTGCTCCAGCCCAGCCACCAGAATGCTCCCCAACATGGGTGCTGGCTGGAGGTGTGTGAGTACTTCTTAGTTCTATTCCCCTTGGCTAAAACTACATAATTTAAGGGTGTCTGATTTAAAGGCTCAGATTTACAGTGAAAGTAAGTATTAGAAGGCCAGCAAATTTTGCTCAAGATTTCAGATTGGGTGCAAAGACTACGGAAGCTAAATGGGGTGAGGGGCTAAGTACCCATCAAGGGCAGCAATCTTGGTCCCTCACCCCAATTCAGAGACCAGAGCCCAGAAAACCAGGCAGTGAAGGAACGGGGGGGACCCTGGCCGGCCAAGAAAAAGAGACCCCTGAGGCAAAGAAGTGGACTTAAGGCAGGGGATAAGGAGGGGCTGCTGGCTCCCCCCCAAAAAGAGATGAGGCAACAGGTCTCTGGGGCTGAGAGAAGAGACGGCAAGACTGGGGGTGGCTGGTGAAGGAAAGAAAAACATATGGCTGAGACCACCAGGGTGGGTCAGGGTCTGCAAGCCACTAATTCTGTATAGGAGTCTACGTGGCATCCTTCACTGGGAAGGGGGAGACCCATCCCACCATGGTGGGAACACAGGTGAAGGAAGTTCAGAGGGTAGGGGTCAGCGATGTTCACGGGGCTCTCTCCCGACCCTCCCCCAGGGGCTGCACAGGAAAGACCCCTTGGAAGAAAGGTACTGTCTGTCCCCCAGGGCCCAGGAAAAGTGGTCACAGAGGGTTTCCATCTCAGTTTGCCTGTGCTCACACGTGACCACACAAATCAGAAATGGAAGGTAGAGTTGTCAGGGTAAAGGACGGGATCTTCCCTTGCTCTGAATATGTGTGGATGGGGGAGAGAGGCTCAAACAGCTGGAAGCAAATAACCCTGGCAGGGAGGCCCCGGATTCTGGGGCTGTGTGGGAGGATGCAGGAGGATCCTTGCCCAAGAACTCCGGCTTGGGGTGAGCGGGCAGGGGGAGCAGATCCACCTGCCGCCAGGAGGCCGCAGGTAGCGCTGCCCAGGAGTTTGGCACCGTGGCTCTCTGGAGTCAGATCAGCGCCCCCCAGAGAAACCCTTTTGGGGGCCGCTGGATAGAACTGCTTATAAGAACCTGGGTTCAAGAGTGGGGCTCAGGTGGGCCCTGTGCCCTTTCAGAAGAGACTGTCACCCGGGGAAAAGAGAAGGAGAGAGGCACTGGCTCCCGCAGGGCCTGGAGTGATACAAAAGCGAGAGGGGTGGGAGGAGAGGGAATTTCCCAGGTACTGTTGACAGCAGGATGGTCTCTCCAGGTTCACATGGGGTAAAAAAGGAAGAGGGGAGGAGACAGGTGGGGGGGGGGGGCTGTTAATTCAAGTAGAAAAAAAAACTGGAGCAAGAGGAAGAAGGTGGAAGGAATGTGGCAGGGCCTGAGGGCCACGCCCCCACCACCCTCGGGAGCCCCCCGCGTCTCCCACTCCCCCTGCTGTTGCACAGTCACACCGAGGTCTCAGACTGCAGCCTCATGACAAACTTGTGCGACTTGGGGTCCACAAATTCCTCGGAGAGTTTGAAGAATGGGACCTTCTTGGTGCTGACCACCAGGCTGAAGTCCTGGCGTTTCAAGAGGAAAACGATGCCATCCTTGAGCCCGTTGGTCACCGGCTCCTCGCTCACCAGTGTCCACTGTTTGGCCAGCCAGCGTTCCTTGTGGTACTGGATGGTGGGTCCAGCCGCCAGGTACCGCTCCAGGAAGGCCTGAGGAAGGGAGAAGGGACTTCACAGGAAATTCTCCCTCCCACCCACCCACCCACCCTCCTTTACCCCTCGGGGGGTACAGCTTCCAAAGACCAACAAGATGTCCCCAGGCTCACTCTCTGCAAACGATCTCAGAATGTCAGAGCAGGAAAGGGCCTGAGATCATCTGCCTCAGAGCCTAGTTTACCAATGAGGGATCGGGAGCCCACGGAGGTGATACGGCTCAGTAGGGTCGGGGCTGGGACTCAGCTCCCCTGACCCCTCATCCCCAGCACCTGCTATGACCCGGGCGAGCCCTCCCTCGTCCTTCCTTCTTCTCCCTTCTGCTCGTATGGATAGCGTCCAGCAGGGCTGCACCAGCAGAAAGCTAGAGGTGTCACAGTTAAAGTGCAACATCTTTAATCACCTGTTCCCCAAAGATGACTCAGGGGATGCAAGTCTAGGAAGTTGGCCGTAGAGCTGAAGGGTGCGAATGGCTCAAAAAGAGCACAGTGCAAAGAACATCTTCTGGAGGTGAGGGGGGTAAAGGTGGGAGTTTGGATCTGAAAATTCCGGAACCCCTACAGAGATGAGAAATAGGTCTCAACCATTCCCAAAATGGTCCTGAAACTCCCTGTTCTCCTCACCACCTAAGAACTTTACCCCGTGCAGAGATGGAGTGGATGGAGTACGGATGAGAGAAGAGACTATACAGAGGTAGAGATGAGAGAGAGAGGGATAGAAGGTATGGAAGGAGATGAGAGAATAAGGGAGAAGGAAATGGAAAGGAAGGAGCCAGGACTGGGGAAAGAGGAAGGATGCCGGGCGCAGAATGGGCCTACCTTGGGTGTCATGTCGTGAGTGATGCAGAACTCAAGGTGCTGCAGGATGCTCTCCATGGTGTGGTAAGGCTGCTGCTTGGTGGTGCGAAGGTACTTCTGCATGGCACGGGCCATGGATGCGAAGATGGCCTGGGCTGCCTCCCGTGGGTCCATCACCTCCCTGGGGTTCTTCTGCTCCTCTTCCTGCAGCCGCTTAATGTGAGTGAAGGCCTCCTCCACGGCCACCACAAGCCTGGGGGACACGAGGAGTATGGACCAGACGTCAACCTCTCATCTTCCCCCCAGCTTCAGCCCTCCAGCAGCCTGAGCGAGGTCAGGCTTTTGTGCTCTCCCTGAAGCAATACGCACCCAAACTGGAGTCAAGAACCAGGCTTTGGGGCTTCCCTGATGGCGCAGTGGTTGAGAGTCCGCCTGCCGATGCAGGGGACACGGGTTCGTGCCCCGGTCCGGGCAGACC